TATATACATATATATATATATATATATATATATATATATATATATATATATAGAATGTACCCTATAATTAAAAATTTGACACTGTGAAGGTTTAAAAATCAGCAATAGCAATATAATTACCAATAATGAACCATCCCAGCATAAAACAATTGATCAGAGTCTGTGTAGGCGATTGTCTAATCCTTTCTTCATCTCTTTCTTCTTGACGTTGCCGTACTCTAGCCGACAAAGTTAATAATTGCTTAAACACTCCAAATCCACCGCCTACTAACAAGTATACGGGAATGTATTCACCCTGTGGACAGTCGTAAAGATACAGTCCACCGATGACCATCATACAAATTGGTACCACTATTGTTACTCCAAGAATGATGGTACATCCGACTGTAAAATACCGATTTTACATTTTGTGTATAGTTATTAAGGTTTTCCTGTAGTATTTTATTTTCATCCTTTCATCTATCGTCAATACTTAATAAGCATATCGACTCACTTGTGCCTAAGAGCAGAACAACAATATTTTTTAAAAAATCAAATATGCCTTTGGATATTTTACGGGCTTCTCTCATACGACCAAATAAAGAATCGTAGGACGGTGGTGGTGCTGGAAAAAAAATACAAAGAGATAGACATATTTGATTTATAAATATGTGGACTGCATTTAAAAATGTCACCTAGATATTCTATATCATCTTATTTTTGTTTATCAACATTGGGTGAACAACAAGGTATGTTAAATCGATAGGCAGACACTCAGGTGACATTTCCAAACGTAGCCATGAAGGTGCATATGCTACAAAGGTCTAGGATAACGTACCATTAGGATCTATCGCCTCTTCGTACGAGGGTGGCGCACCACGTTCGTTGGTCAACGTGGAGGGATGACCGAGGGGTAAATTGATATTATGATAGGATGGTGGCGGAGTGCAGCAAGTCGATGTAATCTGCGTGCTCGTGCCCGGATTTACGCCCTCCACCGTTGCGGTGGAAGCATTTGTGGCACGGCTAATTGAGCTCAAAGGCATTTCTTCCCGTGCAGCGCCGGTTACTGTCCTGTTCCAATACATAAGGCTCGCTTTTCAGACAGATTCGAGAATATCAGCGTAATCGCTCCCCCCCCTCCCCCTCGTCGCTGTTTACATTGGCGAATACTGGCCTTTATAACCTAAAACTCGCACGTTCAGAGATTGTTTGCCTCCCCTCGTCCCGGAGAGGGGAAGCTCGATCTGCGAGATTTTCGTTCTTCCGTATCCGAGGGATTTCGACTCACATTTACGAGTCAAATAGAGAAGAGAAGTCGAGAACGACGAGTCTCCGAAAACGTTTCAAAACGAAACCCCGAGATATATCGTGTTACTTCCATCTTCCATGATATAAGAAACAATTCGGGACAACATTTTGATTGGTCAAAGAACAGCCGTCATGTTCAAGACGATTGTGCATCCTTGGAAATGGAATACCATGATCGAAGTCCTGTTAAACCGTGTTGTCTCGGTACGTTGTTGGAAAACACCCTGTTTCTCTTGGCTGTGTTCCAAAATTTACTGCCAGTGCTGAAAATGTACAGTAACGTAAACTGTAGATTTTCAGCGTTGGCAGTAAATGGAACACAGCCCTTGTTGGAAAGTTCCCCAGCTCTCCTTACAATCTAGTGGTTTTAACTAAATTAGTATCATAACGCCATCTATCAAAATGTTGAGAAACTTTGGACCTTCTGTTTTGTAAAAGATTTCGATGAGGACAGATTACGACTGTAACCTCTTTCGATAAATAGTATACAATATCACTGATAATTGATATAAAATATGGCAACAAAAAAGATCAATGGATTATTTGTGCCTTTTAATCAGTTATATAAACGTAATGTATTCATGGTAGATGCTATAACAAAACACACATATGCAACCACTGATGAAGTTGATCAAGTTACTCATACTGGTCAGGTGAGATGTCCTTGGTTCAATAACAAAAAATTTGTTTTTACAAGATATTACTTTACATCTTCAAGTAACAAAATTCATATAGATGATTCAGTAATACATCATACTTACCCGAATTTATAAAGATATATTTATTATACTTATTGATTATTAGGTAAGTAATGATTTTTCCAATGAACAAATTATTTGTAGTATGACAATAGAATGTCAGCAGATTTGCAACAGATCTATCATTTGTATCTGCATCAAAATCATTTTGCAATAGATCTTGTCAATATAGGTTGCATTTTATAAAGTGCATAATGCACGTGATGTATCATCTTATTCTTGTTCATTAAAAAATAAGCTGACACTTACGGAACTGGACTATAATCAAATTGTTGGCAGAAACCGAATAGGATTCATTATTTTAGGCCAGTTTTTTGTTGAATTAGTATATATTTTGGAACTAAAGTGGAACATGTTTGATATTTCGTGAAAGTGAGAAAGATAATTTTAGTACAGTTTAGTGCACAGGAATAAAAAACAAATTTTTTATAAATATTTAATTGATTACAAAATGATAGTAGATTTTGTACAATTTATAGTAGTCTATTATATGTATTATATTTTATCATATTAGTGGATTGTATTATATTTCTACAGACTTCTATCAAAAACTGATAGTAGATATTGTCATAACCTGCGAGATTTGATTATCCGATTTATGATTAAATTGTAAATTTTATTATATATTCAAGATTTAATATTATATAAATATAATAAATCGAATAATTTTAATCGCCATGAACTCATTTTCAAAAAGTATAGAGAATCATTTCTAATATTATCCTTTATAACTTCTTTAATGAATACTATGTATTTGTTTCCTTAACTATATGTTGTCATGCTTTATCAGGCATTTGAGAAAGACGACTATCGGTTAGTAAGATTTTTGAACAGGCCAAAAGAAGTTAATAAAAATTGGGCAATTAAATTGATAGATGAAGTACCACCGTCTCCTGAGAAAGATAGAATTGTAGCTTGTGATGGTGGTGGAGGCCCTCTTGGACACCCTAAAGTTTATATAAATCTGGTAAGATTCATATTATTGTATATGTGTTACAGTAAAAATATAAAATGCAGTAATTTTATGCACTTATATGTATATATTATATAATTATGTTATATTATAATTTTACAAAAACTTATATACAAATATAAGTGTATACAAGTTTACATCAAGAAAATGTCTTTATCAGAAAATGTGATAGTGGGACACTCTGTAATTACCGTTTCATGCTTTCACTAACTATATGTAGAATACATATTATCTTTTATTATATGTATTTTATTATTTGTTATTTAGTACTAATTATTAAATATTAAAGTAGATATGTCACAGATTAATAAAATTTTATTTCTAAAAAAGATTAAAACTATTTTATTCTTTTATAGGATAAACCAGGCAATCATATTTGCGGTTATTGCGGATTGCGTTTTTATAAGGAGAATCATTAGAAAATATGTGTATGTATATGAGTAGTATTATATTAATTGTTAACTTATAAGGTATATTTTAGAATGTCATGTTTGTTGTAATAAATGTATAAAATAAAATTGACATGTGACAATTTAATTAAAAAAAAACTGTTGTGCTTAAAAAGTAAAACCTAAGTAATACTATTTTTAATTATATGATGAAACCTAAGCGATATAAAAAAAATCTATATATACAATAATATGAATATTTCAAAAAATATAAGTTCTGTGGAAAAAAATGTTTTAGACAGAAATTGTAGAATTTAAAAAGATCTATTCACTGATTTTATCAGTTTGACCTTGGTGTTGCCAAAATCAGGTCAAAGTCATATCAATTTTTAAAAACTTCCATTTTTTATTACGCGTATTTTTGTAAATAAACTCCCTAGTATCTCTTCGATGTTTTTGAATTCCAGATGTGCTCCTGAAAACTCACAGCGAGTTGGCAACACTGATTGCAGTATTTTGCGTTATGACAGATTTCTTAACCTAAGATAGTCATCATTGTTATCAACTTTTAACAATTAATATTATGGTTTACGAGTCAGAATATTTTATTTCTGCCAGATTTGTTCATTTCGTGCAAAAATGCATCGAATGAGTTCAATTAGTCTAATTTCATCGAACTCGAAGCTGGTTATGCTAAACTGAACAATTATTTTTTTCTTTCACCAACATATTAAATGTATCTGAACAAATTATTCAAACTGAGTTCTATTTATGTATTTTAACTTTCCAGTTACAATGTGAGTATTATACGATAAATATTCTAGCCTCAAAAAATATCTATCAATCTTTAATATTCAAATTTTATATTATCTATATTCCTTCTCAAAAACATATTTAGTTACTTTACTTTTACAGATACTGAATTTTAGAAGAAGTTAAGAATGATGAAAGTTTGCATACATTTGTTTAAAAGGCTTAAACAAACACAAAAGGTTTAAACACAATAAGTATCATTTTTAGTATAAAAAAAATGAACAATCTTTCTGGACAATTCCGCAAGACAACATGGGATCCCTTTCTTATAATTTCTCAGATAATTGCTGTACAGACTATCATGTATCTTTGCCTTGGATTCTGGATTTGGATTGTTGCATCATTGTTGGATTGGACAAAATCGTTGGATTATGTATTTCAGTATAAAGAAATACATGTTCGTGACTTCGGAGGACAATTAATTATTGTTATGTTTGTTCTGAATGCTTTTGTGGGAGCATTTGCATTATGGTGGCTAGTGCAAAGAACAAAATTATGCATGGACTTTGCATGTACAGCCCATTGTATTCATTTGATTTGTTGTTGGGCTTATAATGGAACATATCCGACATCTTTCAGCTGGTGGTGTTTAAATCTCGTTTCGTTAAGTATAATGTGCGTCTGTGGAGAATTTCTTTGTATGAGAACTGAACTGCAAGCTATACCTTTAAGTATGAATAGTCAAAAGATAGCCTTATGAGATAAAATTTGTCAATTGATAAAAGATGAAACTTAAATAAATCTCTTTGATAAATATATTGTTATCGTTAATGTTAAAATTTGTTAAAATTATATATATACATATATATACATATATATATATA